TGTAACTGGGTGATGTTGAAATAAAGCCTATTAGGAATTAAACAAAATATGTTTCTCTGTTTCAAAAGCATCAAATTATCTCTTTGCAAATAAATTAACTCATCCCTAGATCTAGACAAATCTAACTCCAATTTTTCAATCCACATGCGCCTCTCTTCACTCTTTGACGAAACCCTGTCGAGTTAATCGGTTAAGTTAGAATTTGTTAAACGAGTTCGTTTTAGACTATCACTGAAACTTGAAAATGTGTATTTTAAGTCGTTCAATTCAGTTTCATATCTAGACACAGGTATATTCAAAGAGTCAATAATAGAGTTTACCTTGTTGATCACCTTCTCGCACTCGCTTATCTGCTCAAGAACTGGTTTCTTAGCGAAACAACTATCATCGCTAGGTCCACCATCAGTTGCATAGCCCCTCATCTCTGATACTTCATTGGTAACCATTAAACACCTTCCATTAAACTGAGAAACTTCATCCTTCGACACGAAGCTCCTTCCATGAGTAGGTATGCGAACCTCTTCATCTTCAGAGTCAGTCGACCGGACCTCGACTCTGCCAAAGTCATCTTCAGCTTCGTTTTCCTGCACAATCAAAGCGGGCATGGTGTTATCATCGTTCTTCTTCTTTTTGATCTCCTCCAGGTTTCGGAGATAGTATGTCTCGTCATCCTCTTCCTCCTTCTTCTCGTTCATTCTTCTCAGCATGCATTCTTTGGCTAGATGGTTTTTGCCTTGACAATAATTACAATCATAGTCAGAGTCCCCCACAAGCCTTTTATCCTTCTTTGCTTCTTCTTTCTGAGAGTTATTCACACTCTCCTCCTTTACCTTTTCAGAGCTATTACTGCCCTGCCGATTTCGGTTTTTGTTGCGACGGAAGTTCTTCTTTGCAAATTTCTTTGGATTAGACACCATCATAGCAAATGCTGTGACAACCTGGAACTTCTATCTTGTACACTTAGTCAAATTCAATCAATGCTAAACTTGTTTTGTTGACTTCTTGTGTTGCTTAAGGGTTCATTTAAGTGTTCTAAGCTTGAGTATGACCAAGGTTGAGTTTAGGAATGAGCCAGCAAGTTGTATAGTGTCAAAACCGGGCCATACACACCCTTAGGGGGAGTGTACGATCGTACACATGGGTGTGCGGCCGCACACTCACCTCTTGGCCGCACACTCACTTTTAGGCAGCATACTTACCCCTATATAAAGGGTAGCCCCTTTTCCTTTCATTCCTTTAACACCTTGGCAGCACACAACACCATTTCTCTCAAGCTTCTTCAACCACAAACCCTCCAAAGCTTCAAAAACGTGAGTAATTCATCCTATAGCTTGCAAACCATGAAAGACCACTCTATCTAAGCCTTAAGTGTGCAATATTCGTCATGTTCTTCGTTTTTGGAAGTGAGTGCGGCCGTACACCCCCATAAGGTGGCCGCACACTCTTAAAATACCCTCCAAAGTGAGAGTTTGACTTCCATATTCGAGTTGGACATGACCCTAGCTTTGCTACACCTTAGAATTGGCATTTTGGACATCATCATGTAGGGTGTACGACCGCACACACCTGTGTACGGCCGCATACACCCTTGTGTGGTAGCACACTCCTTGTGTGCGGCAGCACACTCCCGTGTGCGACCACACACTCATCCTAGGGCCGCAAACCCACTTCTAGGACCCTTAACTTGCACTACAATTGAGTATAGACCTAGAACACTTCATGGATGCAAGTATGGACCTTGAAAACACCTCAAAGACACTTTCGAACATGAGTGTCCAGCCGCACACCCCTTGCGCCGCACACCCATGGCCACACACATATTTGAGGTGGCCATACACCTCCCTCATGCAATCCTTTAAGGTCCTAACACTTAGTTCAAGTAGTTCCAACTCCCTATAGTGGTTCTCCATCACATCTAGTGGTGAAATACCTTCATTTGACTCCTTTATGTGTCATTACATGTTAATTAGGATCAAATCATGTTCAAGGCTTCACTTGAACATACAGCTTTCCGTATCGATCCTTCATTCAAATCGCCCGAGGTGAGTTCATACCCCTATATTTTCCGTGTTTTTAATGTTTTCAGGGGGGGTGGGGGGAATACAAGCCAAACTCAAAGTATTTTATTAAGTTTTAACTTATTAATACAGTCCAACGATTTCCACGTTTAATAACATATTCAGATATTTTATCCCTTTTTGTAATATGTTGAGCATAAGGGAAACTTTTATTTTGCAATTCTAACTTCATAGCTTTCAGAAAGGTTTTTACAAAGCATTTTCCATAACAATTCTAATAAACTATAATGGGTATAGTTTGGGATAACCCTCTAAGCAGTTTTTACCAAATCAAATTTCATGGATGAATATATATAAACTATGGCAGATTTAGTTTATGTTATATATTTTCTCAGGAGTATAAAAGTACAATTAATCAAGGATAATTATTGTTTTATACTGTTTCTAGATCGTAAATTAGATTATACAGAATTGTGAGGCTCTACTTCAATACTGTACCCTTAGGTATATAGGGCTAAATCCTATCTCAGTATAACCAAAGTCTCCTGGAGGGAGATCGTGAGATTTGTGAATAGATCTATTCGGGACTGACAATCCCACACCAGAATTGCTAGCTACAGTTAGGCAGGCATGCATGTGGTGGACAAATGTGATTTAGCTTAACGCCTAAAGAACGTTATAAAGGTTTCTAGGTCATATCAAGCATGGTTATACGACTCACAAATAAGTATAAACTAACTTTGGTTTACGGACTCTACTCTTCAATTGTTTTATTTTAAGTAATAAAACTACTTTCTTATATACTGATAGTAATCAGGGATTTCTAAACTTGCATCTCTACCTCTAGGACGGATAACTTGTTTTTAGGGAAAATATAGGATTTTCCCAGGATAACATCGGCATTTCTAAAACTGATAGTTTACTACTCTACTAACGGATATTCACATTCATTCCATGACTCCTTGGATTGTGCGTACCAAGTATGAACCGGGAAGTCATGGAAGGAATGGGTTTGCAAACATACTTTTCATAAGAAAATATGGGATTTTCTTGAGGAACACTTTTTCAAAAAGGATCAAAGAACGTTTTTCTCTAAAACTAAATGCTTATGAACTCACCAGCTTTATGTTGATAGTCTTTTAAACTGCTTGTATTCTCAGCGAATCAGTAGATAGGTACCTTCCGAGCATTGTGAAGAAGTCGGAGCGAATACGATTTTGTCCTTATACTTTTTGATGTATTCGAATCAAATTTAAAACTGATGTAAACTTATTTAATCTTCATGTATGGAATGTTTGGTTGTGTTTACTATGATTGCTATTATACACTGGTTGTGATGCTAAACATGACGTCCTCCACCCCGGAACGATTCCGCCATTCTGGATTCGGGGTGTGACAAATGCTTCCTTAGATAGTTCACAATCAGAGAGATCAGATTCCGAATCATCATCATCTACAACCTTTTTACCCTTCGCAACAAGGGCCAGTGATCCCATCCCAGAAACTAACTTCGCTTCTTTCATCACTTCATCTTCATGTGACCTTAGTATTCCAACAAGCTTTGCTAACGTGTTGTTCTTGAACTGCTCATGTGCTTTTACGGTAGAAACTATAGCCTTCCATTCAGATCTTAGCCCGTTCATGAACGTGACTTTTTGCTCAATTAGTTCACGTCCAATCTTGTGCTTCATCATCCTACTGAGAAAGATGATTATAGTGATTGAAATTTTCATCTAGACTCTCTTCAGGCTTTTGTACAAAGGCTCCAAACTCTGAAAGTAGTAGAGTTTGAGTAGAATGCTCAAGATCAGCATCACTTGAGTATAGTTCCTTGAGCCTATACCAGATGGCTTTTGTTTTGTCGCATGAACTCACCAAACGAAAAGTATCTGGTGGCAAAGCAAACCTGATGATCCTCATCACTTTAACGTTGCTTATCAGCTTATCCTTCTCATCTTGTGGTATTTCTTTAACATCAAGAATAAGCTTGTTGTAGTCGGCGTGAGTTTTAATTTCTCTTCTTGTTCCTGTATGAGCAAACGTCTGGAAAGTAATGACTTCCCATATCAGAAAGCCATGGTCTTCAAGCCCTAGGACGTAATCGTCAAAGTGCAACGCCCACACTTCATAATCATTGGGGAAAAGAATAGGGATTCTGGTTGTTGATCCAATGCTGCTTGAAAGATTTATGGAGTTAACGTGAGAGTCGTCTGACATGTTTAAAGATCGATTAAAACATGTATGAATCAGATGTGTAAACTAAAATTGTTTTTGGGTAATATAAAGATCAAAGATCAGCGTCAATAACAATGATGACGGCTAAACCAGATTCAATAATAGCAGAAACCCTAAAAACTCTTTTAACAGAAGAGATGCGTATAGATTACACAGTCTCCTGCTCTGATACCAATTGTTGAGATTAAAACTCTAAAGATCGAATAGATTCAAACAGGAAAAAGCAATCAAACACAGAATATGAATTAAGAATGTGTCGAATGATTAAAAGTCACAGCCTCAGAAGAGCTCGATAAAGAACTGCTACTGTAGAGGCTATGTAGGGTTTACAATGACATAATCAACTAATATACGATGCATACATGCATCTTAAATAGTAAAACCCTAAAAGTAAATGACGGGTGGACATTCCCAACCCGGATACAAAATAGACTATACAAAAAACCAATAAAGACGCAATACTAAATATCCAACAAGGTTCCTAAGGTGAAAATTGCAATAAAGAAGGCCATGTTAGCAATTGGCTATATATATAGTTATGTTCATGTTGTGAACTTGATGAGAAAGTTCACCAAAGAAAGAAACTTTCATAGGCCATCTATAACTACTTTGCCGCATCTTTTATCACACTTGCCCAAGTCCACAGACAAAGAAACAACCTGAAGAATATGGTGATTTCTGTAGAGTGGGAAAAGGCAAAGTGGTCAAGCAAAGATTCGATTGCAAAAAAAAGTAAAAACCTACTTTATGCAAGATTCATTTTGGAGGAATGTTTTGTATGCTCTCAAGTTAACCAGCCCTCTAGTCAAAGTTCTTAGGTTAGTTGATGGAGAAAAGTATCCAGCAATGGGCTACATTTATGAGGCTATGGATAGGGCTAAAGAAGTTATTCATGATAGTTTTTCCAATGCGGATGACTACAAGACAACTTTTCAAATCATTGATCAAAGGTGGGAATGTCAACTGCATAAACCTCTACATGCAGCAGGACATTTTTTGAACTCGGGGATATTTTATAAGGATATTGTTGGGGTAGCTTGTGAAGAAGTGGAACAAGGTTTATATGGTTGCATTATGAGACTTGTTCCAGACCAGGAAGTTCAAGACAATATTTCTGCAGAATTAGATAAATACCGGAATGCAGAAGGACTATGCGGTCATCCCATGGCTATTAGGCATAGGAAAACAAATGCACCAGGTAAAAAAATGCTATTTTAAGTTCTTAACCAACTTTTTTTTTGGTAATTTCTATTCTAATTTTCTGAGTTTGTTTTTAACTTTTTATTATTAGCTGATTGGTGGGCATCATATGGATCTTCGGTGCCTAATCTTAAAAACTTTGCCATACGGGTCCTCGGTCTAACTTGTAGTGCTACAAGTTGTGAGAGAAACTGGAGTGTTTTTCAACACGTAAATTTTTTTGTATCTATTTAGAAAAAAATTGTTTTCCTAAATGATAATATGTTTTTTCTTATTTTAGTTATTTTCATGATTTTTCTTACTTTAATTATTTTCATTCTTGTAGCTTCATACGAAGAAATGAAATAGGTTGACACAGTCTATATTAAATGACATGGTGTTTGTCAAATTCAATCGTGCCTTAGACCGTCGAGTTAAATATAGGGAGAAGGATCCTATTCTTTTACAAGAGATTGATGAAAGTAACGAGTGGTTGATGGGAAGACTTGAAGAGGAGAATGATGATGATATAGTATTTAATGGTGAAGATCTTACTTGGAGAGATGTAGCTCACGCATCAGGTGCTTATGAGCCTAGTTATCTAACTAGATCGGGAGTGCAAAATGATGGAGTCGGTTCATCGGGTATTGATAAGGGAAAAGCTCCAGAATCTAGTCAACGATCTGGATTTCGTTTGGTGGATGAAGAGGTGGAAGAGGATATCGGAAGTGATTGTGGAGGAGATGGTGTTGTCCAAGTTGACAACGATGATGACCGTTTCGCGTATTTTTAGTTTTTATGATTAAGGATTAGGAATTTAGGACTTAAGTTCCGCCTTTTTTTATCACCATGCTTGATGCTACTTTTAACTTTTGAAATTGACTTTTGACTTTTGAAATTGATGCCTTATGAAATATGCAGTATAGGTTTTTTTTTAAGTATTTATATATAATTTCCATATTTTTTTTAATAACGGGCGCTTCGTGTGCTCTAAGCGGGCGCTTTCGCTTAGCGCTTTCGCTTAGCGCTTTTGCTCCCAAAGCCCAAAGCGCTTTGAGGCGCTTTACGCTATTTAAAACCAAGGGTTGAACGTTTGAGACATACTAAATCGATTTCCAACTCTTATTTTCTTTTCAAGATGGAAGGAACATAACTTTTTTTTGAAGCTTTGAGACCTGCAAAACCTATTTCCAGCTTTTGTTTTCTTTTAAATCGGGTTTACAAGATAAGTATGTATATCACTATTTGTTTGCTTTTAATTTATATGGGTTTTGTTTCATATGTATTCAATGGAAATGTACCGATCTGGGTTTTTATTTGATGGAAATGTATTTGTTTGCTTTGCTTTTGATCGATTTGGCTTTTTGCACTACTAGAAAAAATCTCTTTAATGACATGTGAACACACTGATTTATGATACGCATTTTTTGTGTGACAACCCGAAATCTCTATCTTGTAAGTCAATCCAATTCAATCAAAAGTCAGACTCGTTTCTGCTACCTGTTTACTGTGTTTAGGGCCAGTTTGAGAGTCTCTAAGCCTAGTACACTTAAGGGTTGAGTGTTAGGATGAGTTAGCTTAAGTTCAGTGGTTTGCAATTGAGCCTGGAACACCTTCAGAAGTGGTTCACGGCCGCAAACTAGGCCGTGAACTAACCTCCATATATATATATATATATATATATATATATATATATATATATATATATATATATATATATATTATATATATATATATATATATATAAGTTTCACTCATTTTCTCATCACTTCTTCAACCTCCAGCCGTGAACTACCTATTCTTTCTCAGGTATCATCAAGTGAAGACCCTCTTTTCACTCCAAAAACATAAGTATCTCATCCCTTTTCTTGTAGTCCCTATGAAACACTTGATTCTAGCCTAGATGCAACACTTCTTTTCATGATCTTCAAGAGTTCACGGCCGTGAACCCTTCATGTTGGGCCGTGAACACTCATGTGTTCTTGGGCCGTGAACACCCCATAGGGTCGTGAACTCCTCTTCTGTGGCCGTGATCATCATTCAACCTTCCATTTGTGGTTCTAACACTTCATTGAAAGTGTTTCCTACTTCCTAGGGTTGTTTCCCTTACATGTTAGTAGTTATAGACACTAATTGTATGCCTATATATGTCAATATATTCCAAATAGGATCCATTTGTGCTCGGGACTTCACTTGGCATAGCAAACATCCTATATCATATCTTCAATCAAATCTCCAACATCAGGTGAGTTCATACCCCTAAAATCTACCTTTTTAATGCTTTTAAATGCTTTTAAAGGGGGGAATACAAGTTGAACACAATTAATATTGTGTTAATATTTACCTGTTATAACAATCACACAAAAGGTTATCTTATATTTTTAAATATTGTGTTAACAATAAAAGATTACCAAATACTTCCAAAATGATTTAAAGTCATGTAAACTCTTGTTAAACATTGTTAAACTCTTCAAAAAATTGTTAAACTCTTTTAAAATGCTTTTAAATGTCTTTTAAGTTTTTAAATTGTTATAATTATCATAAAAATTACATATTTATATATGTGTAAATTATATAATTTGGATTCAAAAGATTTAGAATATATAATTTGACCCCATTTCCTGTTCCTTGTTTGGTTATGGGCTTAGGGTAAAGTTATATAATTGAAGGTCTAATTAATCACAATTATATAAATATTACATTTATATATATATATATATATATATATATATAAGAGTTTTCAAACTGTTTGGTACTTTTTAGTACAAACAGTGAACTTCATGGAATATCAGTATTACCGATTCTTACCAACTATTAAACTATAATAGATATAGTTTAGAAAACACATTCATTGGTACTTAACAGAAAACGAGTAGAAAACATTCCTTAGAGAACTCATTCATTGGTACTTAACAGAAAACGAGTAGAAAACATTCCTTAGAGAACTCATTCATTGGTACTTAACAAAAAACGAGTAGAAAACATTCCTTAGAGAACTCATTCATTGGTACTTAACAGAAAATGAGTAGAAAACATTCCTTAGAGAAATTATTCATTGGTACTTAACAGAAAACGAGTAGAAAACATTCATTAGATAACATCAATCAGAAAACAACCATATAAACTATATCTTATATAGTTTATGAAACCGACCTACTGAGTATTTATTACCTAGTAACTTATCAATATTCTATACATAATCATCAATATAGAACTTGTGAGACTACCTTCATGTACTTTTCCAAGTACCAACAAAAGTCCTGAAATTATAACCAGAATCTCCTTGAGTGGGAGCGTGATAATTGTGTATAGATCTATACGAGACTGACAATCCCGCACCAGAGCTGCTTGCAACAGCTAGGTCGGCAGACCTGTGGTGACAAATGTTGTAGCTTTTGCGACGCCTGAAGAACGTCGTGTTCAGGTCATCTAGTCATAGTATGGTTATAATAACTCACAATTTAGTATTGAATTAAATGATTAGTGTATGGATAAGTAAAACTTCACATAGTTTTATTTTTATAAAACTATAATACAGTATTTTACCAGTTTAAATATGGAAATACTATTTTCGTATTGGAAAACGCCTTTTCTTTATGATTTTATGTAAACTATAATACAGTATATCACTTAAAAACCAGAAACTTTCACCCTATTTGCTTACCGTATAATACATCAGAAAATATAGGATTTTCTGGGGTAAAACGTGTTTACTTTATCAAATAACGAGAAAACGGATTTGAGTTATAAACTAATACTTATGAACTCACCAGCTTAAATGTTGATCCTCTCTTTCAAAATAACTTGTATTCTGAGGGAATTCAGTAGACAGGTACACTCCTGGAGCTTCTGAGAAGACAGCCTAGTGTCGTGTTGTGTCTTTTGTCATTTACTAAATCTACTTTTGATGTCGAATATCTAATGTATGAACACTTATGTAAAAACTTGTAGATTATTACTGCAATGGTTGTTGTACTCTGATTACTATAATGCATGTGTTGTGATACTTGACATGACGTCCTCCACCCCCAAACGTTTCCGTCGTTCCGGTTTGGGGGTGTAACATTTTGTGTGTCCTAAAAAAATGTCAATTTTCCAAAATTTGAAGGATAGAGGACACGCATTTGTGTGTGCCCTAAAAATTAGTTTCCAACAAAAAAGTTACAAGCACGGAGGGTACCTAAATTAAATGGGTGTCGTGTAGAGATGTCGTTTTATAATTTTTTTAATACGCGCGCGTCCCCCCTCTTTGATATAGCTAAGGGGGGAACCAAATCCCCCAAAACTTTGAAGTACCCCACCTTCCTCTACCTGTGTGCTCTATCCTCTAGGTCTGACGATTGGTTTGAGTTTTGAGCTCACCATGTGAACTAATGTATACCTAAGTTCACATGCAACCTATTGGATCTAAGTTTTCTCTATTGATTTCAACAAACAATTGAACATCAAGAGTCGTAGGAGTACTCTAATATTTTCAAAATTCACAAAGGGATTAGGGTTTACATACCTTTTGATTATTGTTGTAAATAATCAATAAAATCCTTCTTCAACAAGCTCTAGAAAGCAAGCACTAGAAATCTTATGCCTCTAATGGCTCACACCCAAAACCCTAGAATGAAGAGGAAAGAGAAGAAGAAGAAGAAGAAGAAGAAGAAGAAGAAGAAGAAGAAGAAGGAAATTTAATTCCTAATACTCTTAGGAATGTCATGAATGAAAATCGATGGCCTTGGGGTCCTATTTATAGTTTATGTAACTTGCAAGCAAAGCAGAATCTGAATTGATTAAATAATATATTTAATCCTAATTCAAATCCTTTTCTTTTATGCAATCAGGAGGCTTCTGAAAACCCTAGAAAGACTCCCAATTTCGTTCACCCCTTGGATGATTCTATAATTTCTTCTTTTGTTCAACTATTGAACAATTACAATTCACCCCTTTCACCTTTAATTAATTCTAATTAATCCCAAAATTAATTCCATATTAATTCTGATTAACAATTAATTAATTCTAATTGATTTCTTATTATTTTTTAACCATATAAATTAACAAATAAATTATTTAACTATTGATCTCATGTTAATTTATTAATCACATAACAAATCAACATATCAATTATCTATTCCTAATTAACATATTAATCACATAATATATATTAACAAAACATCTCTCTCTCTCTCTCTCTCTCTCTCTCTCTCTCTCTCTCTCTCCTAATATCTTTTCTAGTTATTTCTGGTTATGAGGGCAACCCATAAGGGACTTTGCTTCTATTTTCAAGTTTATACCAATTTAGTTATGAGCTTAGACACCTTAATCCAATAGTCTCCCACTTGGATTAGTCTATAACTACAATTTCAAGTATAACACAACAACAATGAGTGTTTTCCAAAGGCACTGTCGAAGTCTGATTTAATCAGACATTGGCCCTAAGATAAGTGATCAAATATTCCTTCGCTCTTCAAGATATCGTATGGACATGAGACATGGATTAGAATCAATCTTATAGTCTAAGATTATGTTTCTCGATTTCCTGATTTATAACGACTAAATTCAAACTACTAACTGAAACATCAATTCAGTCTGGACTCGGCCAAGCACTTCAGACGGCGACAACAAATAGGGGCCCAAAGATATCGCTTTTCCCGTTAGGAAAAAAAGAATGAATAAACTTCGACTTATATGCTTGTATCTTTTACTCACCAAAACATGTATGACACTACGTTTTATGACATCGCGTTACCGATGCGTGTTCGCAATAACAATTCACAACCGACTTGTAAATTACAACTCATATAT